CTTGCAATGTTATTCCATTTCCCTTCAACGAGTCACAAATTAAAGCTGCATTCCTGACTGGGAAAATGTCCCAACACGTTGGAGGAAGAAAAAAACCAGGTAAAAATATGCAAAGCTTGAAACTTGCAGTGAGAGGTCACTGTGACATCAGTTTAAAACAAAACACACAAAAGAGGGTTTTAGGAACAATGACAAGGTGACAGAGTGCTGCGTAATAACATTGCATCGATTCAAACAGACCCACAAACAGTATGCTAACAGAAGAAACTGTAGTTACTGTCATGCTGCAAAACACCAAAACCAGGTATCAATAAGCAGAAAAATGAGATTGTGCAGAGGACGTTACCTTGTCCCAGAAGAAGAGATAAGACTGACTAAACTCAAACTCCTCTAAATTATGCTTCTTCATGAAGGGAAGTCGCAAGACGTTGAGGCACGAGAAGATCCAACATCTCCCTGTTGTCGAGAGACAGCAATAAACCAGTTAGTGAAGGCATGACACCAAACTGTCACTCAACATATTCCCAAATAAATACAAGAATGGACATACACTGGGTGATTTTAACACATGGATTTCTACTGAAAATCAAATTACACAAAAGTGGTATTGATTTGTCAATTAGGTAATCTCTCAAAGCAAATGATTGGAAAGACATGGATCTTCATTGACCCAAAGTTACGTACACATTGCTATCTTTAATCTGTTCTCTGTAGGGTTTGCAAGCGTCAGGTAATGTATGCGTCATACCTGAGTTTTTTTGGTTGGTGATAGGTTTGCCTTCCGTGGGAATAGAGTGCTGAAAGATATGCACAGTATCCTGGACAGTCTGTCGGTGCAAACAAACCTCCAACGGGTCGATGCAGGTGGAAACATTCTGGGCCAACAGATAACGTGGTTCGGATCGCAGGCGCTTTGTAAAGGTGGTCACCTTTTCTGGACTCAAACCTTTAAGAGAACCCAAGAGGGAGATAAAAGTAAAGAACTGTACTCAAAAAAACAAGTTGCTCAACTTCAATCAGTCAGGTGGCTTTTTTTTGTTGTTGTTGTAACCATCATGACTCAACGTCACACTGTAGGTTTAACGCAATACTTCCCATTAGGGATTCGACTGAACAGCACTCACTCACTACGGCATTAAAGTCATTCCTGGAAAACAGATCAATAATTGTAAGCCAACACCTCATCTTCTCTGAATACTTCAACCGTCTGGTGCCGCTCTTTTTTCACCCTCCAAACGGAGTCAACAACAAAGAATTGCCTGTTTGGGATAATAAATGCTGTTAGAAGAACAGCTCTAATGGGGGAATACAGGCCCAGTTGGAGCAAACGCCGACAAAACTCAAGAATGTTTCCATGTTGTCGACTAGTACTGGAGGCCTTTAGCTGCAGAGGGCAGACCAGACCAGGCCCTGAACACTTATCTGGCTCCATCTGTAAGAAGAACACACTGGAAGCTCGTCCGGTCCCGCTGATTGGGGGACGAACTGGTACACGCCGCAACACACACGCGCACACACACACACACCCTGACAGAATCAAAGTGGCACCAGTCGGCGGTTTGCAATTCAGTCAAATAAAAGTGGAGAGCAATTAAACATTGAGCAGGACATTGCCTAGTCATGCATGCTGCCGATGGTTCAACGCTTCCCCGTCAGCTGCTGAAAGGCAGAGACTGGCATAATGTCAAACTTCATCAGCTTACATTCACAACCTATCAAAATAAACACAAACCAAAGGCAGAAAATATTTTCAGATGGTGCTTTGCCAGGAGGCCAACATTATATTGGTTCCCTTATGGGGAAATATGCACTGATCCTGATTAAAGCTGACAATGTAGAAAAATAGTAAGGGATGCCAGTGTCAGTTTATAGCAAACATAGCTTAAAGTGACAGCAGTTTTTCTTCTTCTTCTAATACCAGGTTGAAGCTGAAGCTATGAGATGAAATCTAATAGTCACCGGGTTAGTAGGATGGTAAAGTTGTAGTAGTTAGCCTGTTATTTAACACACGAAGGCATGAATGGCGAGAGCTGACAGCACAGAGGTTTTTCTATGGATTGGGGCCAAGCTCTGGCAGCCAGGGGTGACTTGCAAATTCACACATCAGAGGTTTTACAGCTGGCTTTGCATTGGCTAAGCACTTTACGATGCCCATCGCGGCACAACGACCAAAGGGCAGATCAACAGCTGAAATGAAGCCGGAAAACGAAGATCAAAATGTGTTTAAAAGAAGACACGTTGTTCCATTTCGCAAATCGACAAATAATTCAGTGTAAATTTAGCACTTACTTCTAAATACGCCATCTAAACACTCGGATCCAAGTCAAAAACACAAAACATTAGCCTATAAGTACAGAGAGTTGTAAAACCCGAGACAGGGAGCACATCTCAACTATTTCGGAAAGCTACAACATTTAAAAAATCATTCAGCAAACATCAGCTGGCACATTCTCCTCTAAAGGAAATGAATCTGAAGTTTAAAGAGTTTGACAGGTCCATTTTGGACTAGCTGGCTAAGCAGGAAGCATTACATTTTCTATAGCTGACAACTTCAAACATGGAATATATTCCTTACTATCTGCTTATAACTGCGGTCTCTATGTCTGTCCCATGCGTATTGTTTGTTTCCATAAGCTGCCAACTTTGCAGAGAGAACACGGTAGTCTTGCTAGCTCACCACCCCGGCATGCTGCTAGCGCACTGAATGCTAACATAGCATATTAGCTCGATCACTTGTCAACCCTTAAGATGCTGGAGAGCGTTTGTTTTAGCTGGTCGGCGACATAAAACCAACATGGCTGAAAAGGGACACAGCCACGCTCAACCTACCGGCGTCCATGTTTCTGAGGAGCGTGAGAAGCTTAGAGTGTAGTCCCAAAAAAGTCACCGGCTCTTTGTTTATCTCATTCACCGACAGCGAGTCAGTGTGTGCAAGGGGTGCGCTCGTTTCTGTGCTCTGGTTCAATCTTTGACGTGGCGTTTGGGCGGAGTTAAAGAATCTAAATTATATCCATCGAAACTTCCCGGTGTGATATGTCAGCCTTTAGTTTTTCATTTAACACATTGAAAACCTTTCTGTTTTTTTGTTTGTTTGTTTTGTTTTTTTGTCACAGTAATAAAATAGGTTTTAATCTAAATATCCAGCTTCTGCCAGCTTGTTCCGCTGTATCCCATCAGAAAGATTTAGGTTTGTACTCGTGGTTCACATACAAGAGACAGTCTTTTTCGCTTTCTCCCTTGTTTACTGCGTAGTCCTATGGGAGTGAATGAAATGAACATGGGAGTAGCGCTGCCAAAATGTGACACATAAAAGCGCTTGAAACGTTTGTGTAACTGTGATACAGAAAATATTTTTAATTTCTATTTCTGACTATCAGTACAGTAGTAGTAGTAGTAATATATAGGCATCCGTATATAAGACAATTAGGCAACAATTTATATACAATTAGACTAACAATTACATTTGAACACATCAAAAATAATTGTTTCCCTATCCCCAGCAAAATATACTAATCTTTTCAGTATTTTTAAAGCATTAGACCTTTGGCTCACAAATCCCTTTCTTCACAATTATTATATGTAAAGTAGAACCAAGAGGGGGTCTTTATTTCTAACAGAAACAAACAGATTTTTAAGTCCAATGTGATGCTTACAAAATCCCGCCTTCAAATTGAAACAAAACCTGACACTATTACTTGCTATAGAAAAACAAAATATCTTCTCAAGATCTGCTGTAATACAGTCTCCGACAGAAGATCCTTCCTGCGAAGAGCCATCTGCATCTGCAACAACGTTTTGATGAAAACTGAATGAGTTATATTTCACCTCTGGGATTGATAAAGTACTTTAAAACTGAACTGAAATGAACTGGATTAAATATAAGGGCATCGTCACAGCCAGCAGAAGGTAGAACTGAAATTTACTGGTTTTCAAAATGACTAAGTACAGAAACACCTAAGAGCAGCTGGGCACAATTGTGGTACAACAGTTTTATAAAAAGTTTCCAAAGGAACACAAATTGTGTTCAGTATGTGTAGACTTAAACTATCTCTGCAAATACGAGTTTGAAAAGTTATGACAGCCTTCATATGATATATGCTCAGGACGAGACTTGTAATACTCTAAATATAGCACCACAACTACACTTGGAAGGACATGGGTATTATTTTGAATAACCTTTACCTTTTCTCAATTTCTCCACATATTCATCTGTGTTGTCTGAGCTTCATTATGCTGTTCGTTCACCAATGTTCACTACCAAATCTCTGAACGCCTTCAGAATATCACTGGATTTCCACTGAGATTAAAGTGATAGAGATTAGTATTATTTCCCAATTAGGTGATTTCTAAAAGCATTTGGGAGCACTGCATTTTATTTAAGGCAATCAGAGTAGGATGAACTGAATGTGTCATAGTTTCAGAATTAAATCAGTAAAAATGTATGACTAAATTGTTAATTTCTCAGAAAGTCGCTCATAGTTATGTGCTGCTTTATTTTGATCTATTGCTTGACATCCTAACAAATTAAACTGATGTTGAACAAAAATTGAACAATGAATATTTTAGTAAGACAAGATGTTTAAGAAATCCCAGAAACTTCCACCTATTTTGAATCCCAAAATTAATAATGATCTGCATGGAGTTATTATATGTAAAAGTTCAAGTTGCTTTCATAAATCAACCATCTGTTAATATGTTTTTAAAAAATGTCAAAAAACAAAACAACTCAAATAAGCCACAAGAGCTACTGTAAATTCAAAGCAGAACAAATGAGTTTCTGAGGTCTTTCATAAGACTGGAGTTTACACTTCCTTGAAATGATCCTCATTTCCTGCTTGAAAGTCAGTGATCCTGCTCTTGAAGTCAGTGCTTTCCCGTAAATCAAATCCTAACGTGTGTGTGTGTGTGTGTGTGTGTGTGTGTGTGTGTGTGTGTGTGTGTGTTCAGAAAAGTGTGAAGGGGCTGGATTAGTGGGCCACTTCCTTCCTCTGACTCCCCCTAAAGAAAAAAAAAGAAAAAGCAGCAAGAAAAGCGAAAACCAAAAATGATCCCTGACACTCACAGAAATAGGAAAAAGAAAGGCTGAACAAACAGGTTGTGTTAAGTTAAAAGAGTGCGAGACTGTCAGACTATTTCCGCGAGCCAAAACATGGAGACTTGATCTTTACAAGGGAGCTGAGATTTTATGCTGACTGAACAACAGCATTTGTCTTTTTTTTTTTTTTTTTTTTTACCAGACATGTATCCATTTATCTTGCGTGTGATCAGCTGCCTGTGTATCTTTCAGGGAGGTAAGAACATGTTTCAACTCAGCCTCGTCTGAAAACGTGCATGCTGTCTTGTCACATTTCGAGCTACGTTTTGTATTTGGTTAGACTTTGTTGAGGAAGCTCTAAGAAATAAAACTGCAGTTTTCCAAAGTAATGGTTGGCCTCTTTTGCAGCTGTATAATTTGACTCAGATGAATATATACTGTTCATAAAGCCATGATAAGTCAAAGTAAAGTTTCACTCTCATGTCACTTGTACTTGATCTTTTTCCATATCTTCTTTTAAATTAAAAATTCTGACTTTTTGAGGTTATTCTTCATTAAATGATGAATTCATTTTAAGGCTTTTTGTGGTCTAAGGAATATTAAACATATAGAAACAAAATGCATGAGTAAAGTCAGTGACTGCTGTCAATTCAGCTTTTTCAAACAAAATGCACTTTATTAATCTAAGTGAATGCTCTCTCGTTTAGGTGTTTTTTCTGAAGAATGCAGTCAGGGTGCACTCGGAAAACGTGAGACATTCTTCGTGCCTGCAGGGGGCAGCTTGTCTCTGTCCTGTGTGGTTCAACACTGTGGAGGCAACTGGACAGGCAACTGGTTGAAGATGTGGGAAAATTCCACTTCAACCACTGTTGAAAACAGCGCAAGGCACCGTTTCACCATTGCCCCAGTCAGTGCCAATCGAAGCGAACTACTTTTAAAGATTTTGAGTGTTAGACAGTCAGATGAAGGGTTGTACACATGCAATGTGAAATGGAGTGATGGAAGCAATGCTGTAAGCCATTGGAAGCAAGTGAATGTCACAAAAGGTATATCTGCTCTCTTACATGTGCTAATCACACACAGATCATGCATATTTTAGTCATTAGTGTTTGTGTGTTGTTGTTCTTCTCCGTCATCCCCGACATGCAGGTGTTGCCTCTCAGAGAAAACTCTTACACAGGGTTCTGGTCTGCACTGGCGCCTTTCTTTGCCTTCCTGTCATTTTGGGATTGGCTCGCTGCCTGAGTTCAGAGGTTAAGCAACAGCCACATCCCAGGATAGAGGTCTTTCATGCAGATGGACATAGAGATGGATCACATCAGCCTCCACAGCCTCCACCCCGACGCCCAGTACCAAAGAAACGCACTGCTCCTCCTCACAAAGGTATGTAACAATTTTAACTTCAGCAGTCTAAAGCATATAGGTAAGAAATTAACGTAAATGTAATGTTAATGATGTCAGACCTAAACTTTTATTTTGATTGAACTTTTTCAGCTCTGTCACCATCCCAGCAAAAGCCAGAGGTAGGGGAAAGTATTGCCTTTGTAATGTGTGGTGCCACAAGTCTGTCTGCGGCATATTTGATCTTGTAGAAGTTTCACGTAGTTTTATTTCATCCTATACGTTACAGCTGCTGTACGCAGACATTTCTCAGGATGCCCTGATGAATCAAAAGGGTCCGAGAGAGCCAGTTCAACCCACCGTCTACTCATCTGTCAGGTTTTCCTGACAGCAGAAGACAGAAGACGGAGATATGGAGCAGTCGGGTCCAAATGTCTGTGGTATATCCCATTTATTTGGGCCTTCATCTATTTCTCCAGTTCTTGTTCTGTATTGGACACAAGTTCAGTGATTCAGTGTCTTTGAGCCATCACCAAGGTCCTGGCATCATTCTGGTTGGATGCAAAACTTTCCATTAGAGGTGATAACGTGTTTAAATGGAGATGGGTTTTCTTGCACTTTTTATCATGTCATATAAGGGCTATTCAAGAAGCTCAGTATCAGCCTACTGTGTACATTACAAAAGCAGTTTGGTTGGGTGTTTAGGATTATTGTCCTATCATAACTAATGTGCACAGGTTTGTCGTTTTGAGGGAAAGTTGAATAACCTCGCGGTAATTTTTAATTTTTATTACTTCCAATCAGCTTAGTTTTATTTATAGAGTGCCGATTCACACCAAATGAATCATCCTGAGGCGTTTTTATTAAAAACAAACGTTTACTTTGTTCTAGTGATCAAGCAGTACGTTAAGCTCAGTTAATTATTCTAAGTAGTTTAAAAAGTTTCTAAGGAAACCGAGCAGATTGCATTGAGTCATCAATTTAAAACGTTCACTCCACATGGAGGGGCTGGCATCGAGTCGTTGACTTTACAGCAATCCCTCCTACAGAGGATGCACGTAGAAGCACATAGCAGAACCTGGATCAGTACAAGCAGCCATCGGCCTCGACCGACTGGGGGTTCGACAGAGCAGAATGCACAAGAAGAAACTAATGAAATGATGTTGGATTATTTTTAATATTCATTATTTCATCAACTTCTTGCAATCTACAATGTGAGAGAAACAGACTGCCACCCCCATGGTTGAGGCCTGGTATGGTGTAGTTAGGCTTAAAGCCCCTACTATGACTGATCTGAATGTTCATCTTGGCATTATGTTCAAATATTCAGTGCGTGTTGATGTTGAACTTGTTTTTCTGTGAATAGTGACACTGGTGTCTTTATGGTAGCGTGTTGGTTATCCCCAAGTTGTTATTGAACATCCTAACCAACTGATTTTTATCTGAGGGTGAAAGTTCGACTCTTATCTACTTCCAACAATTAATAAAAGTGTATTTTATAAATTATGCGTTTTGTGTGGACACCTTACAAAAAGTAAAAAAAAAAAAAAAAAAAAAAAAAAACCCACATATGGCACAAAATACAACATTTTATTGTAGAATAAATTCTCAGTGGCACATTACATAACCAAATATACATATACGTTATTTAGACATCTCTTAAATTAATATATTTTCATTTTATAATTTTACTTTAATTAATTAGCATATTCTGCAGTGATTTGTTTGTACATGACATCAATGCAAAAGAAGTTAATATAATAAATTAAGCATGTCAACAGAGAAAAAAGGTTGCAGGACATTTTTGGGCAATACAGTTACAAACAAAACGATAAACAGAACTTCCTGTTTCTTCTGTCCCTACGCTCCTTGCACGAGGTAATTGGTGGCCTATCCCATTTCAAAATGATGCGCTAGCCTAGGTATCTGAAAACTACATTTCAAGTAACTTCATCCAGAGCAACTTCCCAAGACGTTAAAACTCAATAAACGAGGACATTTGCAATGCGTGTGAACTTTGAAACTTCAGTTTGCTAAGCCGTCTTCAACTTCACCAACAGTTTCCTGTGCAGTAAAACACGATGTTCATTCAAACGCTTTCTAGTTTGGTCACACTAAACACACAGAAGTCAATGCTGAAGTCTAATGCTAATGTTAATATGTTGACAGCCAGCTGACAATCACAGAAGATTCATGGCCCCGTTGTGCTTGAGAGAAACTATCGTTGCAAATTTAAGCGTTTGAAACCATAGCTACCATGGCATTAAACGCAAATGACAAGACTGTAATTAACATTAAGAGTAACTTCTATAAAAGGTGGTTCAAAGGCCTGGTGGGGCATATTTTTCAAGTCGTCTTCATCGATTCTCTCACTGGCAAACTTCCCTGCTAAAAAAAAAAATCTAAAAAAAAAAACAAGCACCACAGAGCATGTGTGCTGATACACCGAGCTAGCAAGCTTCAATGGGAGGTACACGGAGGTGAAATGTTTTTCAGAAAGTGCAACGTCTTTTTTGTCCCCTTCAGAAAATGCGGGTGTAGTTTGGCTTCCCACAAGCTGTGCCGTAACCAGATCCAGGAACTTCTCATCCTCTCACACGGTGAGGGATTGAACGCACAAGCAGAGAAAAAGGGCTTTGGAGAGATTGTAAGGCGCAGCTTGTGGCTAAAATAAGCTTGTGGCTAAAATGTGCTGGCAGTGTCTCCTACTGTGTCTAACCAGGGTGTCGTGGGTCACCCCTACAGATATAGAAATGCTCTGCTGGGAGACATCTTTAGAGTGCTATGGACACAATGCAACAGGCACCAAGATTACAAAAGCGTCTCCAAAAAAAATCATAGCTGTTCTCTAAAAAAGCGTTAATATTCATAACGAAGAAGTTCAGGCTCCACAGTTCCACAAGGCTTTGCTACTGTAAGTAGACTGTACATTAGGTCTTTGTGAATGTGGGAGAGCCACTGCTCACTGTTTCTTTTCTCAAAGCAAAAGAGGAACTACCTGTAGACGTACCATTGAAGGGTAAAGGGTAAAGGGACATCCTGCGGTCTGTCGTTGGTTCCACAGAGTTCTCAACAGTTGGCTGGATGAGGACTAACAGTTCGGCCATAAACTTGTACACTTGTATGAAAGATGATGTCTAAGAAAAAGCTGAGGCGCCGTCTACAGCCTGCCCTACACTCACAGTTTTACAGCCATGCCAAGACCTTCAAGTGATAGGAACAAGAGTTATGCTGCAGCTAGATTCAAGCAGCTAAAAGTTGCTTCAAAGACAGTGAACGTGTATGAGCTGCTTTTCTTCACTTACACTCACAGTTATATCAGTATGTCTATAGTGTGCAGGATCTCCTGTGCAGCTCTAGCCTTTTGCTTATGGTTCTAAGAAAAGGCTGTACAAATGTTTTATTTTTCTGGTGATACTGTGATTTAGTCAGCTTCGTCAGAGTCACGCTGCTTCTTCAATGAGGAAGTCTGCTGCTTTTTCCTTCCACAAATCTACTCAGACTGAAAGAGAGAAAGGAGAGAAAAATCACTAAAAACAGCAGCTTCTTCTTCTTCCATGCTGCTTTGTTATATTTTTTCCATTTTGTTTTTGTTGTTGAACATTTTCTGTTATGAAAATATGATGATACACTCCAAACACTTGCCGGTAAACACAACTGCTATCATTTGGGACCTATTTGAGACTTACAGCTGTGGATGAGTGGCTCATTTTGTCAAAGCGGAACTTCAAACTTGACCTGGGTGATGTTTTCCCTTTTCCATCTGCAGAATATAAGCGCAAACAAAAAACTAGCAAAACTATTTCTTCTTAACCAGTTCTCCTTCTCACTAGATTAAATTTACAACTTACCTGTTGGACTGCGGCACATGATGACAGGCGTACCCGATCCCTGGCTGTCGATGCTCAGGGCGGGACTGAAGGCAGAGGTGGACGTGATGGACGGATGACTGACCTACAAGGATGAAGCAAAAACATCATAATGTTGTGAAGGAAAAGGCACTGAACAAGAGTGACTGAAAAGAATCAATTATTTAAACTTTGCCCACTCTGACGGCAACGCAAGGGTATGACAGCCACTAATAATTAATATTCTAAAGTGTTTAACTTTACATAAAAAAATGGAGAAAAAGGAGCATCTAAAGAGGGACTTGAAACATAAAAAAATCCACATTATTCAACATATGCATCATATGCAACCCTTTTAAACAAAGCTATATTCAGATTTGCTAAAGTGCTGATAAAATCTTTTAAATGTGATTCACATAATAAACATCTTAATGTTCTAACCAAATGTAGAAAAGAAAATTCGTCCTGTGCATTAAAAAGCTTGGATCTGCACCTCCTTCAGCGCAATTTGTAATACTTGGTGCCTTAAATTACTCTGACGATTCTAACCTCACAAGGTGCCATTTTTAAGCAGAACGTCTCACATAAAATTACTGCCACAATGACAAGAGGTGTCATCTGAACCAAGGAAGATGAGAAGATTTGCATCAATTCTAATTATAAGCTGACATTTAATTCCCACTATTATGCACTTCTGAGCAATTATGGGCTTTTTCCATCTTTAAAAGCTTATTCATCCCTCTTAGCATCCCGATTTGTTACAAATGTGTATTTTTCCATTTTAAAATTTTCCAGTTTCTTTTTTATATTAATTCCCCGAGTTTTCCACGTCAACCCTGGATGAAAGAAATGTTCTACCCACCGTCTCCAGCTCCTCCAGAACTTCTGTTTCCCCCGTGGTGCTGCTGAAGCTGCTGGTGCTAGACGAGGAGCGAGAGATGTTGGGCCTGCAGCTGCTGCCACTGCTGCACTCCTTGTGCTTAATGAAAGGCCTGTTGATGGACGAGCAACAGAGGATCAAGCATGTGGTTGAGATAACACTCTTTAAATTTGCCATAGTTAACCCTAGAACACAATTGTATTTTTATATATTTTCACAAAAAAAAAACAAAAAAAAAAAAAATCAAGTTTCAGCTTTCAGCTGACCTTTCTTTGTTGGGGCAGATCTCAGGTGAGCTGGGATTGGATGATGTCTCTGACCTCACTTCTTGGGAATGCGGGCAGATCTCTGCTGGTTTATGATCACTGCAGACAAACCACGATCACACAGCTTGAACCTTTACACAATTTGTCAGAATGCCACCACAAAATGTATGAATTTTTATGTTTTTTTTTTTAAAGAATTTATGCAATCGCCCAGCAGAAATTGGCCATAATTGGGAAGGAGAAGACAAAAGAGAGACACGTTTTTGGAATGTAATTAAAAAACAATTTCAAAAACAGACCTGCATTTCTAGACGACCCATATCCAACAATTTTAAGATTTTTAAAGGGAAAAAAAAAAAAAAAAAAATCAGGAAATGGAGAGATTAAAAATGTAGAGAACTGACCTGCGTGTGTGTTTGTCTGATGGAGCGTCTGTGCTGGAGTGGAGACGTGGGAAGAGGCCTGAGCGCCGTTTCACTGGGCTCTTTAAAGGAGATTTGGCTGACAGAACAGGAGGCTGGAGATCACAGATGATAAATTAAGACCTTACTTTAAAAAAAAAAAAAAAAAAAAAAGAAAGCTTCACCACCACTCTAAATAAAAATGCTGTAAAGGCCTAATTTGATCAAGCTAAATGACTGTAGGTGGGCCAACAACAGAACTAATATCTAATGAATCTTTACATGGAAACTCTAACATGAAAACTAACAATCACAGTCTGGCAATCAAAGTTCTGCAGGTTTTCACAAGGAAGCAAACAAAGAAAGCTCTGTTAGCCACACGGTAACAGTTAGATCTTGTTCTTCTCTCTCTTTCTCTCTCCCTGTCTCACTCTTTATTATTAGTTACTTTACTTACAGTGAAGGTGCTCTTTGTGCATTCACTGGTGCTTTGTGGCAATCCCCCGCCACTGAGGCTGGCAGGGACCCCACCTGCCACCCCGGGGCTCCGGTGACGATGGGAACCCACCACGGTCTCCATGGAGTGGCTCCTGACGCGCATGGCCCTCTGACATGCGAACAAGGAAGCAAACAAGGAGTGGATCAGAGAAGGGTAGTGAGGAACAAACTGATGCAGATTGGTAGACAAAAGGTTGTTGCAAGGGAACAAAGTGGAGGGAGAGAATGAGATGTGAGAAAAGGAAAACGGTTGTATTTATTATTTTAAAAAATTATACATGTATTTACAAATTATGTCCACCAGAGGGTAGCATTCTCAATGGAAGATGTAACGAGCGGCACAGTCGGAAATGTGGGTTTCACTTTTTTGTTGATTTCATATTTTCATATCTAGTCCTGAAATCTTAACATGAGAACATCAAAACCTCACATTCTTAGAAAGCATGAACAACTGCAACTCAAACAGTGCAACAATCTTTGTTTATTGTTAAATTGTAATCTTCTCGTTCATTTACAGTAATACAGACAGGTGATAAACTGCTAGAGCAACGAGAGCAATGAGAATAGCTCCTCCTGGGACTGTCTGGACAAACTGCAAAGCAGCAGATATCCACAATCCCTGCAAAAAAAAAAAAAAAATAGTAAGAGAGTCAAATCATCACCACGTTCACACATTTTGTCATCGCCACATCTAACTGGTCCCATCAACTTCAGCTAATCTACACATCCGAACAACAGAAAATGGAAAGCAAAAAAAGGGTAGAGAGTGGAAAGAGAAAGAAAAATACAAGCATGAACACTTCGGGGTGTTACATTCACACTCGGATGTAAGTGCGTCTTCTCAGCCGCGACTGCACATTCTCTATATAGAGTTTAAGTCTTTGAGGGCTGTGAAAACGAGGCATCCATTGTGATAACAGTGGTTTCGCACCTTAAGCCATCCTGCAGACCCGTGACATTTATCTGACCTGGCGGTGTAATGACGGTGATCAAATAAATGTCACAGAGCTGAGAAAAGATTGCCTGATGTACTTTTGCCTGGGTTTTATGTTCACCTTGAACGATTCGAGCAGACCCCCATGTCCGCCGTTCTCCAGCTTATCCTCCTCCCCCATCTGCCCGAGTCCCAGCACCGCCTGGCTCTGTCTGTGCAGCTCGTCGTGCAGGTTGTCCAGCAGGGCGGCTCGTGTGCGTCCCTGCAGTGAGTTCAGCCGCACACAAAGGCCGTTTAGGAAAAGGGTCTGCAGCTGCTGGATGAAGCTGAAAAGTAATTGAAGGGTGGGCTGTGTGTGGCGTGCGTCACCTCCAGTTTGGCAAATTTGTCAGATTTGTAGCAGGCGTTCTCGGCATTGATCAGCTTTGTTAGCAGGAATTCTCGGAACTCGGGACCCTGATTGTGAAGATGTGGGGAAAAAATAAATAAAAGAGAGACGAGGTAATAAAAAAGAAAGTCTTGGTTTTTTTATCAAGTTTCTCAATCTTAATATCATCTTTTTCTTAAATGC